CCTGCGTCCTCCATGGCGAGAAAAGCCCCGTTCATAAGTAGGGATCCGACATAAGTCGGATCCACGTAACCCGGGGACTGCCTGTATTCTGCACTGTACCTTGCAACACAGCTGAGATAGTTAAAGGGAAAACTCTAGTATTTTACAAAATACATTCTATCTACTTTTTCAGGCAATTAATTTGTTTGTACTGACCAGCACAATGGGTAAATGAGTTCTCAGTTACAATTACCACTATGATGCATATGAGCCCCACTGTTTTTCCTTGAAGAGTGAAAGAACCAGAGCTCCTTACGACAGCTAAGGGTGCTTCTACATTGCACCGTTATTTCAAGATAACTAGCGTTATTTCAAAATAACAATGCGAGCGTCATTTCAAGATAACTAGCATTATTTCAAAATAACAATGTGAGCGTTGTTTGATAACTAGCATTATTTCAAAATAATGGATGGCTTTTGCCAAAACCTGTAAACCTCATTCTACAAAGAATAATGCCTATTCCAAAATAGCTATTTCGAAATAAGGTGTGTGTAGATGCTCAACTTCTGCTATTTTTAATTAGCCCCTCACCAGGATCATTCTATTCCCCCCAGTGCCTCGTAGGGTTCTAAACTGAGATAGCACGTCTACATTATGGAAACCTGCCTTGAACTAATTTTGAGGCTTCCCTGCAGTGTAGATATGCTATTTTGAAATAAGCTATTTTGGAATAACTATTCCAGAACAGTTTATTTTGAAATAAGTGTGCAGTTTAGATGTACCTTAATTCCCAATGGCGGAAGGAGCCAAAACTCTTGTAAGTAGCATTTGCTGAGTATCAAATTTTGGCTCTATGATCATCAGACTTTTAGCCTCACAACAGCTCTATGAAATAGGGAGGCATTTCCATTTGTGTTTTAAAGACTAGAAAACGGAAGGTTAGGGATGTGTGATTTTCCCAAAGTCTCACAAGTCTGTAGCAGATGTGAGAGCAAATATTAAATGTCCTGTCTCAGTCCTATATTCCAGCCACCAGAGTATTTTTCCTTTCTCTTTCTGATTCTGAGCATGGAAGAGTAGAGTCTATTTAAAACGTCAAGTAAAAAAGATAAAAGAGTATGAACCATGATTTCAAGTGTGACTTATTTGTTATCCTGCTCACTTTTTTCATGTTGGGTGAAACTAGAACTCTTGTTGGAAATTTTGTGAGGAAAAACCCAGTATAATGAAGATTCATAAGATCTGATTTTAAGGCCAACAAAGTTCAGATAAATTCTAGATAAGCATTTTTAGATGTTTATCCACTCAACATTAAACTGTTGAACCCTTTGATGATTCACTTTTCACAAATCACCACCTCATCTTCACACAAAAAACCAGATCTACAAGAAAAAGAGTGAACTTTAAACATATTTAAATGAGATGCTTTAAAGTAAGACTCTGTTCTCCTTACCTTCTATATATGAACTTGTAATCATTTTCTTACTCTATATCCTTTTTATCCTCTGGTTTACATGCCTAAAGGCTACATTGGAAGGCTGTCACAAGCACACTCAGAAGGCCCAAGAAAAGTACAGTTTAGCATATTCAAGTGAGAATTAGCGGCAAGGCTCACTGTCATCAGTTTATCACAGACAGATGATATTACAGTGCAAGAACAGCCTGGCTTTTAAATGATGGGCTTAAAAAGGCAAACTAAATACCAGTCATCTGCTGTGCTTTGCAACATCAGTGCCATAAATAGGCGCATTTGCTTGCTTGGTTGGCTGGTTTTAAATTTATGATAAAGTATATAAAATTAATGACATGTGCTTACACTTAAGTGTTAAAAGCCAGTTCCCTGCTGGTGTGCTAATGCTGGTATACTTCATAGCCACTGCTCTACAACCAGAACCTATGCAACCTTTCATTCATGCAATCAAACTCAGGCAATTTATCTGTTGAAGAGTTTATTATTCATATAAAATAACTTTTTTATATTATTACCAGACTTGGAAGAGATTAGTGTGATTATGTAAAATCCCTGATTTGTGTTGGTGTCTGTCCTATCTTGCAGTATATTCTGTGCTCACTAAGTGGGAGGGTCACACTGTCTGAGACTAATAAGGACAGAGCTGCATCCTACTCTTTGGAGACTGGCTCCAGCAACTCCTCAGCACTACAGCAGCTTTGTGCAGACATTTACTGTGCTTCTGGAGGACTTAGTAAGTAAAAATTAAAGGTAAGTTGTTCATATTTGTAATCAATTAATGTTTACACATCACCCATACTATAGTATTTGTGTTCTGTTCACTTTATTGCCAATCAAAGTTTATTTCTGATTTAGCTGTATGTTTATGAATGATAGTCACTCTCGGGATAATGTACTATATAAATCTGGACACACTTGTGTAAATATTAGTATAGCTATGACTGTATATGTATATATATATTTGTTTCAATTAAAATGCTCCTAGTGCATGTACTATAAACAAAATGATTTACATGCTGTTACAAACTGGCACACGACCAAAATGTGGATATGTGTTAAATATTTGTGGATGTATGTATAATGTCTGTACAAAAAGCAAATATTGATTAGTCTGTAACATTCTCTGCAGTCGTGGGGCTCTGCTGGCCTAACTGCAGAGAGTGGAAAAGGTTTCTTGAACGAGGTATGTGGTGAAAGGACAAGGTTACTGGAATTTGCAGGTGCACTGCCAGGAACCTATGTGGATCTGGGGTGCTCTTGCACTTTCCTGCATGGAATCACATTGTTTGTGCATTTCACTGCCCGTCATACTTTTATTTGACTAGAGATCATACAGGCTGGAGCAAAGAGAGAGAGAGCCTGATTCACCCTCTCCTCCCTACCTGGAGGCAGCAGGCGCTGCCCCTACAAGCCCCACCTGCCTTTTATGTTTGCTAGTTTTCTGGTAAGTTTGACTGAGTTTTGCTGCAGTTTAGCTCGTGGCCCCAGCTAATGCCGGATTTTGCAATGCCCCGGCAGAAAAAAAGGCAGTGTAGGCTAAATGCAAACCACCAGGTCCGCTGCCGTAGGCGCCGGGCATCAGCCCCAGCGACAAGCGCCGCGCTCTGCCGGCTGGGCCCCAGGAGGGGCTCTGCACACAGAGCCACCGGGTGCAGCGGTGACAAGCTGGGGCACCCCACACAGAGGAGAGAGGGGCGTCCCCCTGATCCCACGCGGCGCGCTCACCTCTCCCACACGGACGTGGCCACGGGGGGCGCCCGAACAGCTGCCGGGAAGGGAAGGGTCGGGTCCTGCGCCCCCAGCTTTTGCCTCCTTCTCTGCTGTGCGTGGGCGGCGGGCACCCGTCTCCTTGCCGCGAGCCGGGCTACGGGAAACACGGTCCCCAGATGCTGGCGCGTCTCCGCCGGGCGGGCTGCGCGGGGCACGCCCGCCCGGGGAGGGGCGAGCGAGTTGGGCTGGGGACAAAGGGCTTCGAACTAGAGAGGCTGGGCTGGTGACCCGGGGGCAGCGGTGGCTGGGAGCGAACCCTGGAGGGCTGCGCGGGAGGCTGGAGCGAGGCAGGAGTCTGCAAGCACAGGGCAAAAGCGGCAGGAGAGCAGCTGCTGCAGGAAGTCAAGAACCTGCAGGCAGCGCCAGTGGTGTTGCTGCCTCTTCATGCCAACTGACCAGCAGCGCCATGTCAGGCTGGGGGGTGCGCTGCCTTCCCCATAACAGCTTGGGCGTGCTCACGTGCAGAGGACTTCAGGGTCTGCACATTTCCCCCTTGTGCTGCCCAGTTATCTCATGGTCTGTCAGTTGGGATCAGTGTGTCTTTTATTGGCTGTAAAACAAATCAAAATGAATCAGAGAAACTAAATTCTAAGGCGGGTTCTGTTACATTCTGGACCGTCGTGAACTCAAGTCGATTCTTGCTATTAAGTTCTGGCATGTTGATTGTATAAGTGATCGATCATCCTCTGAAGTAATGAACTAGCTAGCTATACATCTACACGCAGAGATACTGTAGGCATAGTGAGGGAGATAGTGGCATTGGTAACGGTGTTATTTAATTTGTAAGAGCTTTCCAAGGATTTTAGAGCCATGGGCTGTAGCTCTTGTGCATTATTTAAGTCTCCTTGTGAAGCAGGTGGAGGAACATACAAGATGTTCTTTTGACATATATTCATTTTGTGTTACTGCCTGTGCTGCTGACAGAATAACTGTGAAAAAGAAAATAGTTCAACGCAAAAATAATCATAAAGATGACATTTCCGGAGCAGAGGTACCAGCAGATTTTTTTCTTCAGTTCATCTTCCTATTACAGGACCACATCATGCTTTCTCCAAGAAAAATGAATAACAATTTAGTGTTGCATTTTACTGTGCTTTGTTAATCCATATTTTCCTGATAGTTGTAATTGGCTTAGAAGAAGCTTGGTATTGTGTTCAGAGAACAAAGATATTTTGTTGGACAAGCTTCATTATTTTTTTTTTATAAATTTAAACTGCAAACCTAGGTCAGACTGCCCTAGACACTTGCATATTTTGCAAAGAAGAAACATGTCATATATGATTTTGTTTTTAAATAAAATACTATATAAAGGAATTATAAGTTCTCATTTGGTCTGATGACTTACTTCAGCAGTCATTCTGCAGCACTGTGCCACTAAATAATTTAACTAAAATATCTAAGAAAAATAAAACTGAACTAGTCATTCTAATAAAATGATAATTTAGTGCCTTTTAAAATAATATCTGAGTTAGTAGTGCTATAAATGAATTCCTCATGAAACTAAAAAAAGTACCAATGAAATTCATTTATCACTCAATTCAAAATTCAGATTATTCTATATACTTTTTCAGTCTCTTTACGACAGATAAATAATATATGTTGTGTACAACAAATGACTTCCTCATGTGTGAGGGGTTTTGTTTCTGTTAGTTTGGTAGAGGACTGGGAAAGAGAGAATAAGAGTATATTGTTCCCATTGTAAGTATTTTTTTTGTTTGTTTCAGATTTGTGGCCATTTGTTCACATGTGTCCGTGGGGAGATGAAGAACATTGGACTCTCCATAATTTGGCTTTGGATGACAATTCTCTTCCTCCTTCCTGTTTCAATTTCTATGGCAGCCACTAACAAGACAGGTACTTTTCTCTCTCTCTTTTTTCCCCCTATCCAAACAGACAAAAGGCTGAAAAGAAGTCTCAATATTGACACAGCTCAACAAATAAATAATGATGCATAGAAAGTAAATGGACTGTGTAAGTATATGAAGTTACGGAAGCTCAATCAGTTTTAGCATCTCTTTTTCAAGAAGGCTGTATTGGATGTATCTAAAGGCAGCATTTCTGTTTCCTATACACAAAGAGGAATATACTTTTGGAAACAGCTTTAGATGCTTGCATTTTTGCAGTGTATTCTGATATTTTCTGGCACATTTACTTTACACATCCATGAAGAGTCCAGTCCTTGACTTGAAAAAATCTAGAACTCCATCAATACAGTTTTTTGTTAGTTTATTTTGTGTTTTAATCTGATTCTGAGGAAAGCACTTATTAAGAGCCCTAACAGCATTCTGTTATAGAGATACAGAATAAGGCAGTTTCTTGCCCCTAAATACACAGAAAAGAGAGTAATGTGATAATATTCTAGAAAAAATCGTCATAGTAAAGTGTGGTACATGTCTTATTATTTCTATGATTTCCCTTCCCCTCCTTTTCTCTGCTACCTCTTGCTATCTGTCTCTTATCTAATTGTCTTCTCTAGAACAATGTCCTTCTCCCCAACTTTTGTTTCATTTCTTCTGTATTCTGTCACTATAACACATTATCTCTGAAGAAGTACTGTAAATCATTTGTGCTCTTATCCATGGGACCATATGTTATGATATTGCATCAGGTAATGACATGTCAGTTTTCTGGGGTTGTCCATAGATACTCTCCACATCCCAGCTCCCTGCAGCATGCCTAACATCACTAACAAAAAAAGAAAAGAAAAGGTTTGTTATTTTTTTAAAAGAAAGATTAGCAATTAGGATCTGATTTTCAAAGATGCCTTCCTCCAGAAAGCCATTTGAAGATGGTATCAATTGTGGGTGCTCAGTGCTCTAGAAAATCAGGCACAAGGTGTTTAAAATTAGTACTTTGTACAATGCGATTTTAATCCTAATTAAGGCTTTTAAGTTCAACTAGTGTACAAATAATAAATAATAGTGATAATTATGATTTGGCATAGAGTACAAGTATTCCATGGTGGAGAATCTGAGTTTGAGTTCTATACTCTCTTGAATTGCTAGAGGAGCAAAAACTATGAGCTCTTTTTTATATATATATATATTTATTTATCTAATAACCCTTCAATAATCCCCTCTAATAATTCCTTCTTGCCATTTGAAGGAGTGTAGTTGGTGGGCCCAACCAGCTACCTCAGTTAGAGGGTTGAGGAAGGAACATTTTATAAGTTCTGCAGAAGATGCTAAAATGAACACCTGAAAACAGAACAGGAAGTGCAGCTGCCTTTAGTCAGGTAAAAGCCTTTTTATTTAAATGTAAGACAGTCATAGAAGACTCTTAGGCTGGGACATATAAAAGGAGAGACAGATGTCTAAACTCTTAAAAAAAATTTCTTCTTTCATTAAATCCAAGTGACTTTCTTATTCCCTCCTCAAGGTAAGTTCATCCTGGATGGTCCTATTGCCTCTGCTTTTTCCTCTCAATATCCTTGCATGTCATCCCTTGCTGAGGAACTTCTTAATGGCTGTCCTTTTTCACCATCTGTATTTTTTTCATTTGCCCCGACCTGCCTTGCAACTCAAGCTATGCTTTATCAACAATGTACTTCTGTAAAAGTCTCATACTGTGTAGCCTCAGGACCCTGACAACCCCTGTAATAAAGGCTACTTGTGGTACAGGTTGAACCTCTGTGGTCTGGGACTCTCTGGTCCAGCAACAACTGTGGTCCAGTAGAACCATGGATGTTGCGGGACTCGAGAGCCCCAGTGGCAGAGGTTGCTGGTGACTCAAAGTGGAGTTGGCCAGCAGGGCCAGTGGAGCAGAAGAGCTAGCGGGGGACCAAAGCACACAACAGGCAGGGCAAAGAAGCAGGGGGTAGAGCTCATGGGACAGTGGAGCCCATAGTGGGGTTACTGGAAGCTCCAGGAGGGTGAGAGGCCAACGAGGCGGTGGGACTGCTAGGATTGCCGGCAGAGTTGCTGCAGCTGGGAGGTTGGCGCCCACCTCCCAGACTTCACTTACTCCAGAAAACTCCCTGGTCTGGGACCTGTCAGGTCCTAAAGGTGCTGGACCAGGGAGGTCCAACTGTGTTTTGATGAAAGGCTTTGGAATGAAGGGAGAGTTCCCACATAAGTTTAATTATAAAGAAATATAGGAAATCAGTCATGCAAAAGAAAGTGGAAAGCTACATGTGTGGCTTAGCATGGTAAGGGGACAGATTTGTTTTCCATTTGTTATTCTGAACGTGCCTTGGGAATTATTTCATTTCATTAGTTAATATTGTTGTAATTAAAGAAATGGCAGTGCTGAAAAGAGGAAATGTTGAAGAGCATAACAAATTGCTCCGGGCCTACTTGGAGAAGTCTTATTTAGGCCCTGTTGAGTGTGCTGACATCTGTTTGATTCACAGCAAACATCCCTTTAAGTTTTTGTTTGTGCAGAACTTCTAGTGTAGTAACATTTACTGGAGGGAAGGGATTACTTCTAAAAATAAAAGATAGTAAATCTAAGGGAGAGGATAGTGTTACCGTACTGAAGATCAGTGAAGTTCTCCACAGCCATGCGTTAACTTTTCCTAAATACAATTAATGTTTTTCTCTATTTGTTTTCTTTTGTTTACATAGATGATTCATCTAGTTTTTTGTTATTGGGAGCATATGTTTTCATAGTATGGAACTGAGTCAATTCTAATGCTTCAGATAGCTCTCTAATGGGAACATTTCTGTGTTCTGTTTGAATGTTAATAGCTCTGCCTCATTCTGATCGTTGTCTTGTCCAACTTTTTGCAATGACTACCCATTTTTTGTAACATGGACTGCTAAGCTTTGTTGTCAGACTCATGATAGTATAGCATATAAAAAGTTTGGGGTCTGCCAACAATACAGGAAAAGACCTGCTGGATTTCCACTGCTGTTGACATGAAGTATGTTATGAAAAATATTCTCTTTAAATCAGATTTTTTACTCAGACACTACTAATGATTTCAGGGACACACTCCAATCATTTTGAAGTCTGATATGGAATATATCTCATTATAGAACATACTATATTTAATATTAGATAGTATGTTAGTACTGTGGTGAATTCATTAATATTTTGAATGTATAAACTGCCAGACTTATATCTACACTAGGAGTTAGGGGTATGTTCCCCAACTTGGTACAAATATACTTGAACCTCTTCAATCCGGCAACCCTGGAAAACAGGGTTTTCTGGATTAAAGATTTTGCCAAGGCAGGGAGGGAATGAGGGGAAGTGGATAGGGTATTTACAGACAGACTGAGGACAACGGCTGCAGCAATACTACTGAGCATGCTCAGTACAAGCCAAGCAGCAAATGGGGGGGGAGCGAAATTCCATTTGCCATCCCCCCACACACATATCATCTCTTTCTAGGGCTACTAAGGCACTAGAAATTTCTAGGTTTTTTTTGGGCAGATAACTTAGCAATTAGTTGACAGGAGCACTGTATATAATTCCTACATAAAAGAAAAAAAATTAAATATTAGACCCACTCAGCTCTAATATTAACATTCTGGAATCTCGTGGCAAGCTGCTTAAGAGACATTGGTTAGCTTTAAAATTTTAATATATATTCTTACTAACTCAGAGAGAGAGAGAGTAACTGTTAGGACTCCTGGGCTCTAGCCCAGCTCTGGAATTGGAGTGGGGTCTAGTGGATTACAGCAGGGGGCGGGTACATTTGGGTTACATATAAGATTAGAATGGCCATACTGGATCAGACTAGTGGTCCATCTAGCCTAGTATCCCATCTTCCAACACAGGCCAATGTCAGAAGGCATGAACTGAAGAAGCATTCATTAGATGGTCTGTCTCCTGTCGCCCATTCTCAGCTTCTGGTGAACAGGCTAAAGACATCATTCCTGCCCATTCTGGCTAGTAGCCATTGATGGACCTATTCTTCTTGAACTTATTTTGTTCTTATTGGAACCCTGTTATAGTTTGAGCCTTTCCACCATCTCCTGGCAGAGAGTTCCACAGGTTGATTGTGAAGAAATAATTTGTTTTAAAGCTGATGCCTATAGATGTGATTGGGTGTGTTTCTTGTGGTATGTTAGTGAGGGAGTAAATAACATTTCCTTATTCTATTTTTCCACACCATTCATGATTTTGTAGACTAGTAGTTCCCAACTGCCAGTCCGTGGACAGATAGTAGGCCATGAAACGCTGGATGCTGGGCTGTGGCACACTGCCAGGCCACGACCACATGCTGGTATTCCCCAGGCACGTGGCCAGTGCCTGCTGAAGCTGAAGCTATCTGTTTGCAGTGGCCCTGTGGGTGAAGCCAGCTGCTGTGCGGTGGCTCAGGGGGCCAGGGTGTACTTGCATCTTTTCACACAGGTCTTTGAAGTTTGCAACTCCAGCCCCCAGAGCCACTGTGAAGTACCCCAGCCCTGGCCCCCGGAGCTGCCGTGAACAGCTGGCTTCAGATGTACAACCACCTGCCACATAGCAGCAGCTCAGGGGACTAGGGCTGGGGTACTTCGTGGTGGCTCTGGGGGCTAGAGCTGTAGACTTCAAAGAACTGTGCAAAAAGATGCAGCAGCAGAAGTCCCATTAAATAAAGTGTGTAAGTACAATGTTTAATTTATGCTAGTATTAATCATCATGTCAGTTATCAATAATATTACATTGTATATTTTCAGTCATGCAAATAAGCATTCTTATACAGCTCTTTGTTGACCACTTGTTCTGAATTTTGATGTAGTTTGGCTCTTTGGTTTGAAAAAGTTGCAGACCACTGCTATGTGGGGTAGTGCCAAAATTTCAGGTGGGTTAAAAGCTTGTAGGCTGATTTTGAATACTGGAACAAAAGGCCTAGCTCGTGACATTTGCATGATTACATTACATAGACGTTAATAACTTAAGATAAGAAAGGAAAGGAATCTTTT